GACTGCCAAACGTGCCATGCTGGTGAGACTCGTCAGCATACTCCTCAGCAGTTCGGGCTCCATTTCCCGCAGACCGAAATGGAACACAGACCGCACTGCACAGAAACCGTTGAAAGATGGCTTTGAAAGATGGCGCCAAATGGCGCCAAAGGTGGATGGAAACACAGGGATTGCTGGGATGCGAAGTGATGCATCACGAGGCATTGGGACAGGACACAGAATGCCCCGCACCCACGCCCCCTTCCCACAACCCACGGCGCCAGAATGGGAAGAGGTGTTCTGTGGGATAGCTGTGGGATAACTGCCCATAATGCACCGCTCCCAATGCCACGGCAAGTGCCGCAAATGTGGCCACGCCAGTGCACTGGCAGCTGTCAATGTGGACAGACTGCAGCGCTTTCCCTACTCAGCTGTACGAAGGCAGGTTTAACTCACAGCGCTGTACAGCTGCAAGTGTAGCCAGACCCTGAGTTATGGCCGCAGGGTCATGTAACCAAGTCACCTGGTACTGGACTCCATGATAATACTAGTATTTTTCCACTCACTGGTGGGGGGGACAAAGGATTCCCTCCATATGCAAAAACTATTTAAAGCAGGGGAGTGACATCATCGTGGCTCATTCTTCACTGCCTCCCCGCTCAAGAAAGAAGACTGCTGAACACGCCTGAGAAACAAAAAGACTGAACTAGGGGAGAAGGGCTGATGACCCCAGGCTAGAGGGTTGTCTAGCCTGTGAAAGGAATAACTGGAGTTTAAAGCTGAAAGCAAGTGCAGCTTGGCTTCAAGAATCTCTTCTGCCTAAAACAACATTTAGGGTGAAAATTTGCTGCTCATATCGAATTTTGTTAGTATATGAAGCTTATGTTGCATTTTCTATTTGCTAGGTGATCTACTTTGATCTGTTTGCTATCCCCTATAATCACTTCAAATCTCTCTCTTGTAGTTAATAAACTTGTTTTGTTTTGTCGAAAACAGTGTGTGTGGAAATTATAACCTGGGGCAGAAAGCTGTGCATGTCCCTCTCCACATTGAGGGAGGGGGCGAATTTCATGAGCTTACGCTGTAAAGTTCTCTGGGCAGCGCAAGACGGTACAATGTTGCGTTTACCCTCTAGATGGGGGTGGGCACTTGAGTACTGGGCAATTTCTTGGCTGAGCCTGTGTGTAGCTGTAGCTGGGTGTGTCCCTACTTGTGTGCTGGTAAAGTGCAGTCTGAAGCCTGAGGGAGGGCTTAGCTGGCTTGCCTCAGCATTACAGTGTAAAGGGAGCCCAGGCTGGTGGGTCAGGTGGGCTCAGTGGTACCCAAGTTCCAAGTGGCCCCCCCCCGGGGGGGGGGGAGAGTCTGACACACATCCCACTCCACATTCTCCCTCTACCCCCCTGCCTTTTTCCCAGCATTCCTGACTCCCATCACACTCCTCCTTCCCCAGATCTCTGACTCATCCTCACTTCTATCTTTCAGTCGCTCTCCAGATTCTCCCCAGGCCAGTGCTCCCTGCAGGTAATGCCGACTCTTGTGTTCATTGAGATGACTCATTTTGGGGTGGGGTTGTCTCTAGAGGAGAATTCACCTGTGCTGGGGTTTGGAATCCCACGGGGTTGGGTCTGTGAGGATCTCCTGTTAGCCCCCCCTTGGACACACCAAGCTCTCACTTTGTCCAGCCCAGCACCAATGCCAGCCCCACCCCAGAGCGGCCCATAGGTGAGACAAGTTGGTGGGGTCTCAGCCCAGGGAGTCCAGAGGCTGGATGGGTACCTTGCTGCCCCCTGGTGGGGAGGGGAGGGTACATCAGTAGGTGATGGTGTGCTTTTGGGGGGCATCATCCCCTGAAGTCTTGAAAGGGCAGTTTAGGAACACGCCTCATCATTGCAGAACATTCTCCTCCTGCCCCACCCCCATCCACCTCTTCTCCTGCCCCCGCCCCCCCCCACGTTCTGTGCCTGTGTGCTCCAGGTGGGCGGGTCCTAATTCTTTGGCCTGGTCTGGGGGTAGCCCATGTCTGAGGGTTGGATGTGGGGCATCTGTGGGTTTCTCTCTTGGCTGCTGCTTCTGTCTTCCTTCCCAATTAA